GTTACACAACGAGGAACACAAACAGCTCTCTGGGCTTTGAGATGCACTAAATGTCACGATCGACTCTTTCAGGGCTGAATTCAAACATGAAAGCTGCAGCGGTGAACGCTCTGACATCACGCTGCACGTGTGAGGTCAGCAGTCATGTGGTCACGTGGTTGTTTGCACAGTAGCACGCTAACTGGGTGCTGCGTCGTTTACATACCAAACACCTATGCACACTGATGTGCATCACCTGTGGAAGCCCAGCTAAACTCACGTGTCATTTTATGCATGCTGCATGATTATGCATATTTAATGTTGCCACTAGGTGGCGCCTTAATGTGACCTCGATGCCTCCAGAGTCAGACTGACAGTAAGCATGTAAAGGTCTGCGCCTTCCTGGCTGCTTCGCCCGCACTGGGATGTCTGGTCTGCGCGTGGGGGGCTCGTGGGTGTCCACAGGCCCACTGGGTGGGGCCTCCAGGTGAGCGAGCAGCGGCTGCTTGGTGCAGTTTGTCCCAGATCCAGACCGTCTGTCTGTCTGTCCCTTCACTGTGTGTCTGTAACTGAGTGTACGACTGGTGTTGGGACAGTGTGTGGATGGGCCAAAGACTTGGGTCATCACGGGGGGGGGGGTTAAGTGTGAGTGACTGAGTAACTGAGCAAATGGCCTTTGTGTGTGTAGCTGTAGCTGGGTCTGGGGCTTGCCCCCCCGGAAATACCCGCTGCCCCTCCCTGGGATGCCTATAGTGGCCTCCTGCCCATCTTCTCTGCTACTATGGGCGCGCTGAGACGTGTGTTCGTCTTCCCAGGGTTCATTTCAGGCTCTGAATGCATAATTAGCTGCTTATTTAATCAATCGAGCTCGACTACACAAACCAAGACCTGAAGTGTGTGTAACAGCTGTTTCCAGAACCTGATGCTGCTCATGCCCAGCTCCTCCTGGACGTCTTTGGGGAAAAGGAAGCGTGAACTGCTGTCTCCACTCAGGCTGTCTGACACGATGAACAGCAGGGGGCGCTGACTGGTCCTCACAAAACGCCTGAAAGACACAAGGACAGAATCTGAGAGCAGGAATCACACAAACAGTATAAACTTACAGTGCAGTCAGTGTACAGACCACTGCATGCAGCAGGGCTTCGATCAGGCCAACCTGCTCCTAAATGTAATCTAGGAACGCTGGTGTAACTAAGTATTTACCCTGTAATCCTACCTTCAACACTGTGTGTTCAAAGAAATCATTGAAAGGACAGAAACTTGTTTGCTGTGTGAAAACAAATGAACTGTGAAAAACTGCAGGTATGATGAAAAGAAAGCCACTTTCTGTCAGCACGACGAGGACGTGACCTTTGACGTTTCCAGAGTGTTTAACACCATCAGGCCATCAGCTGACAGTGATGCAGGTGGATGCCTCTGTCGTTCCTGGGTTGTTGATCACCTGACAGACAGACACAATATGTGCGTCTGACAGCTGGTCAGTAGCACAGAGGAACCACGAGGGGCTGTCCTCTCTGTACGAGCCCTCCATCTGAAGCACAAGTACACCCTGGTGTCACATCCTCTGAGGAAATGAGTCAAAATGATGTGAGGGGCACCTCGATTTCAATGTCTGTACTCAAAGGAGGAGATTTTAGGCAGCAGAGGAAATAGCAGAGCTGCAGTGACTACAGGGAGGTAAAGACTGGACCCTGAACACGCTGCTCTGCAGATGTGATCTGTGATGTGAGAGCGTTGATGCAGAAGTGCAGAGAAGGTCAGAAGGTCACTGTGTCGTTTACATGATGCTCTGGATTCATGTTGGTAGCACAGGTAGGTTCAGCACTGGCTCCCATCCTGCTTCAGCTGAGTTTAAACGCCTCAGCAGTGGCTCTGTGACCTTTTCTAGACTGATGAACACGACTTTGTTTTTCAGCAGGTTCTTCTCACTGTGGCACCACGACGACCTACTTCAGTGAACTTCATCAGGTCTGTCAGTAATCACAGCTCCATGTTGAAGCTGAACTTTCATCTTAATGTTGTTAATCACAGTTAATCCCTGATTTAACCAGTGGGGGCGATTACTTCCTCTACAG